CGTACCGTTATCACAGGTGATCCCAATTTGAGGCTGGACGAGGTCGGTGTCCCATACTCTACCGCTCGTATTCTCACCTACCCGGAAGTTGTCACACCCTACAATATCGAGAAGCTCCAGATGTTGGTTGCAAATGGACCCAACATTCACCCTGGTGCGCGGTATATTGTTCGTGATAACGGTGAACGTATTGATCTTCGCCACGCTAAGCGCGCTGGTGCTCAGCAACTGCTGTACGGTTGGAAGGTTGAACGCCATCTTGACAATGGCGACTACATTCTATTCAACCGTCAGCCGTCTTTGCACAAGGAATCCATGATGGGTCACCGAGTCCGAGTCATGCCTTTCTCCACATTCCGAATGAACTTGTCTGTTACCAGTCCCTACAACGCTGATTTCGATGGTGATGAGATGAACTTGCACGTCCCCCAGGGCGAAGAGGCGCGCGCTGAGCTCGCTGAGCTCACTCTGGTCCCAAAGAACATTGTTTCTCCGCAGCGTAACGGCCCTCTGATGGGTATTGTCCAGGATACCCTTTGCGGTATCTACAAGATCTGTCGTCGTGACTCCTTCCTCACCAAGGAGCAAGTCATGAACCTCATGCTGTGGGTCCCTGACTGGGATGGTGCCATTCCACCCCCCGCAATTTTCAAGCCTCGCCCCCGTTGGACGGGTAAGCAGATTATCAGCATGGCATTCCCCTCTGGTCTCAACCTTCTGCGAGTTGACAAGGACGGCTCGCCTTTGGCTGAGAAGTTCAGTCCCCTGAACGATGGAGGTCTCTTGATTCACGGCGGACAGTTGATGTATGGTATGCTCTCCAAGAAAACGGTCGGTGCCAGTGGTGGTGGTGTCATTCACACCATCTTCAACGAGTACGGTCCTGACACCTGTGTCAAATTCTTCACTGGAGCCCAAACCATCGTTGGGTACTGGTTGCTGCACCACGGTTTCAGTATCGGTATTGGTGACACCATTCCTGATCAAAACACTATCAACAAGATCGAGGAAGCTGTTCGGAACAGAAAACAGGAAGTCGAGGAAATTACGGCTAGTGCCACCGAAAACACACTGGAAGCTCTTCCTGGTATGAATGTGCGTGAAACATTCGAGAGCAAGGTCTCTCGTGCTTTGAACAACGCTCGTGACGAAGCTGGTGATGCCACAGAAAAGAGTCTCAAGGATCTGAACAACGCTATTCAAATGGCGCGGTCCGGTTCTAAGGGTTCGGCAATCAATATTTCGCAGATGACTGCCCTTGTCGGACAACAGTCTGTGGAGGGCAAGCGTATTCCGTTCGGCTTCAAGTACCGTACACTCCCTCATTTCACCAAGGATGATTACTCTCCCGAATCCCGTGGATTCGTCGAGAACTCATACCTTCGCGGCTTGACTCCTACCGAGTTCTTCTTCCACGCCATGGCTGGTCGTGAAGGTCTGATTGATACTGCTGTCAAGACCGCCGAAACCGGTTACATCCAGCGTAAGCTGGTCAAGGCTCTTGAGGAAGTCATGGTCAAATATGATGGCACTGTGCGTAACTCCCTTGGAGATATTATTCAGTTCATCTACGGAGAGGATGGTCTCGACGGTGCCCACATTGAGAACCAGCGTGTCGATCACATCAAGTGTTCCGATGCTAAGCTCATTGAGCGATTCCGTGTTGATGTTATGGATCCTGAGCGAACTCTTGGTCCAGAGATCTTGGAGCAAGCCAACGAAATTGCTGGCGATATCGAGGTACAGAGATACTTTGACGAAGAATGGGAGGCCATTCTCAAAGACCGAGAGTTCCTGCGCACCGTGGTCAAAGAGGACGAGGAGATGATGCAGCTTCCCATTAACGTCCAGCGTATCCTGGAAATGGCCCGAACTACTTTCCGTATTCGCGAGGGCACAATCAGTGATTTGCACCCCGCTGAGGTCATTCCCCAAGTTCAACAACTGTTGGATCGCTTGGTGATTGTTCGTGGTAATGATCCCATTTCGCAGGAGGCGCAGGTTAATGCAACCTTGCTGTTCAAGGCGCAACTGCGCAGTCGCCTCGCTTTCCGCCGACTTGTCACAGACTATTCCCTCAACAAGCTAGCATTCCAGCACGTACTGGGCGCAATTGAAAGTCGCTTCGCTCGTGCGGCAGCCAACCCTGGTGAAATGGTCGGTGTTCTTGCGGCTCAGTCTATCGGTGAACCTGCGACTCAAATGACACTCAACACTTTCCACTTTGCTGGTGTGTCATCCAAGAACGTCACTCTCGGTGTTCCACGTCTTAAGGAAATTCTCAACGTTGCTACCAACATCAAGACACCATCCATGACGGTGTATCAAGAAGGTATGATGACCCACGATAAGGAGGGTGCCAAACTCCTCCGAAGTCTCGTGGAACATACCAGTCTGCGATCTGTGACGGAGTCGACGGAGATTTACTATGATCCCGATATTCAGTCTACTGTCATCGAGAACGATAGGGATATGGTGGAATCATATTTCATCATTCCTGAAGATAATGCCGACGACGCATCTCAGCAGTCGAAGTGGTTGCTCCGTATTGTTCTTAGTCGCCGCTCTCTTCTTGACAAGGGTCTCACGGTGCAGGACGTTGCTACGCGGATTAAGCAGGCATACCCCCGTGATATTGCTGTCATCTTCAGTGATAACAACGCCGACGAGCAAGTCATTCGTATCCGTCAGGTCCAAGACTACAAGGATGATGATGACGAAGATGTTGAGTACGATGTGACCCTCAAGAAGCTCGAGCAGCACCTGCTGGATACTTTGACTCTTCGTGGTGTTCCCGGTGTCGACCGTGCTTTCATCAACGAGAAGTCCAAGGTCCGAGTCATCGAAGATGGCTCACTCCACACCAGCAAGTCCGATCCCCTTTGCAAGGAATGGGTTCTGGAGACCAGCGGATCTTCTTTGGCTGCTGTTCTTTCGATTCCGGGTGTCGATGCCTCGCGCACGTACTCCAACCAGTTTATTGAGATTTTCGAGGTCTTCGGTATTGAGGCTGCCCGTACAGCTGTGCTTCGTGAATTGACCTTGGTTCTTGCCTTTGACGGTTCTTACGTTAATCACCGTCACTTGGCTCTGCTGGTCGATGTGATGACTGTTCGTGGTTACCTGACTCCTGTTACACGTCATGGTATCAATCGTGCCGACAATGGTGCCCTCATGCGTTGTTCATTCGAAGAGACAGTTGAAATCCTGCTCGAGGCTGCTGCATTTGGAGAGCTTGACGATTGCCGCGGTGTGTCGGAGAACTTGATTCTTGGACAGATGGCGCCTGCCGGAACGGGTGAGTTTGACGTCTACCTGGACCAGAGCTTGCTCAACACCGTCGTGTCCAACAATGCACGCTACGGCCTTATGGGTGCAGTGGGCGCGAAGGATGCCATCATTCCCGACGGTGCTGCCACTCAGTATGACACCGGTTCTCCCATGCCCAGCTCCCCGTACATGGCTGGTGGTGACTCTGATGCGCCGTTCTCGCCTATGCACCAGATTGGCCAGGAGCCCACTGGAGGTCTTACCGAGTACCAGTCTACCGCTGGTATGCTCGGTGGGTTCAGTCCTGGGGGTCGCAGCCCCGGCGGTTACTCTCCAACAAGTCCCTTCAATACTAGCCCGACATCTCCTGGCTACTCTCCATCTTCGAGCTATTCGCCAACATCTCCTGGCATTGGCATGACAAGCCCGCGAATGATGACCTCTCCTGGATTCTCGCCTTCCAGCCCATCGTTCCAACCGACGTCTCCGGCCTATTCGCCAACATCGCCTGCATACGGCCAAGCGTCACCCACCTCTCCTTCATACTCTCCAACTTCGCCTGGGTTCTCGCCGACATCTCCTAACTACAGCCCGACTTCTCCCAGCTTTAGTCCGGCCTCGCCAGCGTTCAGTCCGACGTCGCCTAGCTACAGCCCCACCAGTCCTGCGATTGGTGGCGCTCGGCACCTGTCTCCAACATCTCCTACCTCTCCTAAGTACACACCAACTTCGCCTGGTTGGTCTCCTACGAGCCCCCAGTCTTACTCGCCGACTTCTCCCAATTTCTCTGGTTCTCCGACGTCGCCTACCTCTCCGGCGTACAGCCCAACATCCCCGGCGTACAGCCCTACGTCGCCCCGCCAGTGAATATCGTGCGAAGATGGCTTGCCTGTCTCAGGACCGTGCTCCACACCTGTACCATCATCGAATTGAAACACAACAACCAAACAAAAAAGATCTTTTCGCGCTACACATCTCGGAAATGATTGATAATTTTTTTTCACGATATCGGGGCTTGCTTCCCATTCATTGTATCTGTTTATTCTTTTTTTTTTAAACCAATTAACCAACAACGCATGCCCCCGCTTGTTTCAACCGCCATCGTTCTGAGATTGCTTTGCTTTTTTCCCGGCGCACTATTCCCCCATCGTGCAAAGACCGCACATGCTTCGATCCGAACCGAGGACATACTCCATGGATGCTGTGCGGACTTTGCTTTGCCATTGGGGAATTTGTGCCCACATCGTTTTATTGCATGGAAAGCGCACTGGAGATGTACTTTGACTGCTGCTTTCCGTTTGTACACACCCTCCTGAGGGGATGAGTAGATTCCAACAATGTTTATGACATTTTCAATGTTTTTCCCTATGACTTGTAGTAGAAAACAAGTATACCCGTGAATGTAGGATGATGACTGAGAGAAGTCTAATTTCTATTCCTTAGAATCATGTACGAATTGAACATTCAAATGAGACAACCCAGAAAGGATATTGGAACATTATATACCATATGCATTACAGATATCATAGAAAGTAGATATTGTAGGTGTGGTACATACAATGTAGTGATTGGCCCTCGGCAAAATGAAGCTCCGTTAAGCCAAGTGGCCCGTACTCTGGCAACGACATCATATCGCGATCTCCCAGCTCTGTCGCTTTTGTGATTCACATTGCTCTGAGGGTCGCAATGTGCTTCACACTCCTACATTACATTAGTATTTTGCAGGCATTATGAGGACGCCGCTCTCACACTTTCTTTCGGCCCTGCGTAAGATTTACCCGCACCTACACCACAACAGAAGCTAACTCCTCTTTCTAGTGCTATTCCAGGCATGCGCAGCTGGGCCTGGCCAGCCGCTTACTGACCAAACAACCTCCGGACCAATCGCCCATGATGCAGACCACGAATTTACGTTCCAGACAGGGGAAGCAGAACCCCGTCCTATGACTCGTGAGTAAAGACAGCTTCCGGGCCCTTATCGATGTTTGATACTAACCAACTTTATTGTCTGATGATAGAACGAGTTGAGAATGCTTGGGATATCCTTCGCGCAGCAAAGAACCCAGTACTTCAACCCGACAAGTCCAGAGGATTACTAGGGACTGTTGTACACTATGGCCGCCAAACGGTCCGACTGCTATTCTTGAATGCCCCTTCCACCGAAAAGCCCGAACGGAAACTGAACAAACATGTCGCAGCAGCAGTGGAGGAGCTGAGACTAGCCGCAGACGAAGACAGAGACCCGGATGCGATGTTCTTGCTAGCAGAGATGAACTTCTATGGAAACTACTCTCACCCCCGCGATTTCAAAGAGGCCTTCCGCTGGTACCATGAACTTGCACGGCTGGACGGAAACAACACAGCACAGAACATGGTTGGATTCATGTATGCGACGGGGATTGGCGGTGCCGTCGAACCTGACCAGGCAAAGGCCCTGATGTACCATGAGTTCGCAGCGGAATCAGGGAACATCCGCTCGGAGATGACACTTGCGTATCGCTACCACACTGGAATTGGAACACCAAAGGATTGTGACCACGCGATACATTACTACAAGAAGGTTGCGGATAAGGCGGTCGAGTACTATCGCTCAGGGCCCCCGGGTGGCAGGGCTATGGTTCGAGAATCTTATCGTTGGGCCGATGAAGAAGGTGGCGTCTACGGTCCAGGAGCCAGTGTGTCGAGCTCGGGTCAAAATGCGCGGGACCCTGCGAACGCCGCCCCAGAGGCCAGCGTTGAAGATATCCTGGAGTACTTGGATCTCATGTCCCGGAAGGGTGAGCTCAAGGCTACGTACACCCTCGGTAAAATGAACTTTGAAGGCGCCCGGGGCTTGCCGCGGAATTTCCGACGAGCCATGAAATATTTCAAGGTTGTTACCAAGAAATATTGGAACAAGGATGGTTCTGTCAACTCAAACCCCCCTGCAGGGCTTGATAAGCTGGCATCCAAGGCCGCAGGACATATTGGTCTGATGTACCTTCGCGGAGAGGGAGTAGAGCAACACTACCCGACTGCCCTTACATGGTTCCGACGGGGTATTGCGAATGGGGATTCTCTATGCCAGCATTGGATGGGTCTCGCGTACCTCAAGGGCTATGGGGTTCCACAGGATGGCTTCAAGGCGTCTCACTACTTCAAAGCAGCGGCAGAGCAGGATTCCCCAGCGTCAGAATCACGTTTGGGCGCTCTGTTCTTAGATCAAGGAGACGTGGCAACCGCAACACGTTACTTTGAGCTTGCCGCCCGCTGGGGGTGGATGGAGGCATACTACTACCTAGCGGAAATGGCCAATTTCGGTGTTGGTAGACAGCGGCACTGTGGCGTGGCCGCCGCCTACTACAAAATGGTTGCCGAAAAAGCAGAGGTCGTACACTCAGCCTTCGCGGAGGCAAACGCTGCTTACGAATCTGGTGATAAGGAGGGTGCTCTCATCCCATCGATGATGGCAGCAGAGCAGGGGTATGAGAATGCACAGGCAAATGTGGCTTATCTTCTTGATGAGCACCGCTCTGTGCTCTCGCTCAGTTCTATTCTTCCATGGGCCGAGAAGTCCCGCTCCTCCTTGATGCGCAATCCAAGACTCGCGTTGATTTACTGGACCCGCTCTTCGAAACAGGCTAACGTCGACTCCTTGATCAAGATGGGTGACTATTACCTGTCTGGCACGGGTACACCTGTCGATGCAGAAAAGGCCTCAGCATGTTACCACAATGCTGCTGAAGCTCACCACAGTGCACAAGGGTACTGGAATCTAGGCTGGATGCATGAGAATGGCGTGGCAGTAGAACAGGACTTCCACATGGCCAAGCGGTATTATGATCTAGCTCTCGACCTCAGTCCCGAGGCATATCTGCCAGTGAAGCTCAGCTTGATCAAACTCCGGATTCGAGCATACTGGAATCGCATCACCAATGGAAACATTAACCCCATCCGCGAAGAAGAAGGTAAACCGTCCCCACTTGCCTCGTGAAATCAATCCCTTCTCTAGTTTCTTACAATTATTCCCAGACTCGAAGCCCCGCCGGACCTTCAAGGAATGGGTCAAGGCTTTCATCGAGAACGACGAGGAGGGATATTACGAAGATCTTTACGAACAACAACGAGGAGAGAATGATGAATATCGTGGTTTGGAATCTGAAGGCCACGAAGATGGCTACTATGACGATCTGGACCTTGATATCGACGAGGGAATGCTGGAGGGTCTCCTCATTGTCGGATTGGCTGCTACGCTCTTGATTTTGGTTTATTTCCGTCAACAGCAGCAGCGCAACCGACAGAATGAGAACGCCAATGCTAATGCTAATGCTAATGCCAATGCCCAGAATGGAAATGGGAACGCCAACGACCGTGGATTATTCCCTCAGCCTGGTGACCCTGAATTTGGGCAATGGGTAGCAGGAGGAGTTGGTCATTGAGATTTAGTCTATGCATTTTCAGCGTTTGTAGATAAATTCCATTGCTTATCGATAAGACCCCATCTCCGCATTTCACTTGGCTTCTCCAACTTTTGTACATTTCCCTCTCTCTTAAACACACATCGAACTTTTCAAGTTTGCATCCAATTGATGATGGAAAGACCATCTATTAAGCGTCGTCGCGCCAACGCAGCTACTGCTCTTTCAAAGCCGTTTAAATCCCCACTACGCAGACCTGAGCCAACGAACACTGACGACACACCATCCAAGTCTGCTGCATCCATGACTCTGGATGACACAAAAGTCCCAGCGACTCTTACCACTGCAGAGTCTGGCACAATGTCAAACCCACCAAGTCTGACGGCAGCTCCAGTATCTCCTAAGCGAAAACGCACGCTACAGCTCTTTTCCCCATTTCCATACCAGACCTCTGACCCAGAAGTCCTAGAACTGGAAAAACAGCACCGGGCCATCAAGTCAAAGGTCGATGCACTTATAAGCAAACTCGAAATCGCGACTCAGGCCCGGGATCTCGAGACGAACCCCAGATACATCGAGATTCCAACTCTCATTACCAAATGGCGGCTTGCTAGTCAGGACGCAGCTGATGAGGTATTTGTCGGTGCCAAGGAAAGGGTTAACAGCATGGGAGGACTGGCGGCTTGGAAAGAGCAGACAAAGCGCAGTGCAACTCAGTGGGAGTTTGATGAGGAGAGTGGTGAGCGGGAGCACATTGACGAGGACGAGAGAGATGATACCTATGAAGCTGAGGGTCATAGTGGCCATCTGACTGACAGTGAGGATGAGGTATGTGTTATGATATTACTGAGGTTTCGGGTAGAATCTATGTGTTGACATTGTTTACTTAGACGTTCACGATGGATTTCATGCTCAAGAATCTACGTATCCATCCTAAGTTGATTGGATACGACGTAAAGGCTCAAAGATGGATCAAAGGCTGAATGTCGCTGTCGACTTTTTGACCTAGTGAGAGTTCTTTATGACCTTGAGGAGACGGATATTATGACGGACTTCATCTTCAACCTGACTTGACGAAGCTATGATCTCTTACAATGGCACATATCTTAGGAAGTATGAATACTTAATAAAACATTTCTTATCAACATCGCCTATACCTTCCTATTATAGCCACTTAATAATTATCGCATCGGGGGCGGATCAACTCCGTTATCGCTCCCCGCATTTCCTCCCACTACCTATATGCGCCCAATTGCTGCATGTCGCGCCCTCTGAAGCACAGAGATATAGCATGCGCTCGCTGCTTCCGACACAAGCGGAAATGTGATCATGCCAAACCTTCATGTGGCGAATGTCGTCGCAAGGGTGCCGAATGCTTGCCAGCTCGGTCTCGGAAATCAGGAGATAACATCACAATCCCACTGGAATATTTGAGACAGCTCGAGAGACGGGTTGCAGAGCTGGATTGTGGATCCAGCGTTACAGAAACAACGGTGGGAACATGTGATGCTGCAGTCCAGACGGATTTTGGCGACCCAGAACACAGGCCCAATGATCAACGCAATGATCCAGACTACCTGATGGCTGATCAGAATACAAGCGGAGCAGAGAATAGCTCTCTCATACTTCTGCCAGACTTGCAGCACAGAAGCCAAAGATCACCTCGAATATCTCCCCCATCTTTCTCGCCTGACGCATTCTCTTTATTCCCGGAGACGACTTTCGATGTTCCATGGATTGACCTGGCACCTTCATATCCGTTGACTGATGATGACTCTCCTTGGCTGAAGGAGCTCTACACAAATGTGTATTTTTCTGTGACTCACCGCGAATGGCCTTTCTTGAACGAAGCAGCTTGGAAATCATGGCATGCCGAAGCAGTCCTGGATGGAGAGGACGAATGGAAAGCTTTCTTTTTGCAGATGGTATATGCTATTGGTGCATCCCTTTGCAGTAATCTACAGCGAGATCCCTCGCACTCCGTCCGATCAAAGGGATATTATGCCTCGGCCATGACATACTATCCATATGTTGTCGGGCATTCGTCTATGGTCTTACAAATCCAAGCTTCACTATTCATGATACTCTATGCTATGCATTCTCCTTCCTCCGAGGATATCACAACGAGCGTCTCCTCTGTGTTACCTTTCTGTACAGCTACCACGACAGAGATCCAAAAGCACGTATCGACATGCCGTGACAATGGGTTAATGACCGAGCCCATCGAAGTTCTGCCTGAGAACATGTTTATTACTTGCTACATGCTTAACGAAATCATTGTCTCTGGGTGGGATCGACCAGTATCAGCGGCCTACAGGGCTATTGATGATGATGTGGGTTATTTCCAAAGTCTTTCTATGTAGCTTCTCACGGTCACTAATTCTCAAATTAGATGTGTACTCTGGGAGACACCCTCCAGCCCACTTTAAGTACAAACCCCGCCATAAGGCACTTGTTTCGACTGCGCAAGATCCAAGCCAGCATTAGAAGATCGCGGGAGAACCGGCCCCGAAATTTCCTCGCCAGAGATGGGAAAGGCTACACCTCCTCATTCAAGTCTGCTCTTGATAGGTGGCGACAAGAGATTCCACACTATGAATCAGACAATGATCAACACGGCTATCTCCATCCTATCTGGATGCGGAAGCTGTATGTTTACAGTCTCTTGATCTTGATGGAAGAGAAACGCGATTTTATCGAAATGGATGGAACGGAGGATATCCTCGTGACAATTGCAGAAGCCTGTCTCAATTTCCGGCTGTTGCAGGAAGAAGGACATGTTATGTGCTTTACCTGGTCTGCAGTATGTGTCAAAGCCCCCGTTTCTTCTCTCTCGCGCTACACTCGAAGTGAACTAACAACCAATCTATCATTAGCTTGTATTCCAATTCCGAGCAGGAATCATGATGCTTTACATTGTCTGGGTAACAGCTCCTGTCTCTGATATCCGGAATCAACAGCACATCAGACAGGCCATTGCTACATGTGCAGCTAATCTGGGTGGCTTTGTTGATCGGTGGAAGGATGCAATGCCGTATATGAATGTGCTTGACTTCATACGACAGAAGATCATGTGGGATTCGGGCACATTTGAACCCAATACCAATGCTCCTGTATCAGTGGAAGAGGCCGAATTGCACTTGGAGCAGTTGAGGAAGAATTATTTGCATCGAGCTGTCTTGGGAATGATTGAAGATATGATGTATGGGGGAAGTATTCATCAGGACTTGTTAAATGATGATTTAAAACAGATATTGTAAATATGAGAGTGCTACATAATTGAGTAATGGACAGAAGAGTTGCTTTATTTTTTGGCGACACTAGGTCTCTATAATAAGATCAACTTGCCCGCCGTCGAACCGGCCTTTGTGTGGGCTGTGATAACTACGATAGTCTGTGTTAAAGCAGGACTCGACCACCTCTTCCAGGGTTGGTCACGTTCCGATACGGGATAGGAAGCCTGGATAGACCATCTACCGCCCTCTAAAACCGGCTTGCACACTTGACCGTTGACATGGCATTGCAAAGACTCCAGCTGGGAGTCCTTGAATACCACTGATCCCTGAATCTGGATCATAACAGTGGTGCCGTGAATCTCCTTCATTTGAGTCTCGACCACCAACTCAACAGTAGATCGAGAAGCCCATGGCCGAGGATCTTGACCAGTTTTGATGTGATCAGAATCAAGCGCAGGCACAAGTGGTGGCTGAACACGGCCCTTCATTGCCGTCTCAAAAGCAAAGCCATACCTAAGTAGACTGTTGTCATCATATGCTTTTCCAGCAAACGTAAGGTTTACCGGCATCCCCGTATCTTCCATGATACCCATAGGAACGGAGATAGTAGGCACGCCAAGATGCCTAATAGGTCTGTTCCCATTGGAGTACTTGACTCCATTACTCCACGCAAACAACGAGGCTGTCTCATCGCAGTCTGCATTAGCAGCGCCGATATCACCATTAGCCGGGAATACCACAGCATCAAGTCCAAGCCCATCCATCCAGTCCTCAAAAGTCTCTTTGCGCGCATTCTCAAGTGCCTGGATTCCCTGCTGAATACCAGGGACTTCAAAGATAGACGCCGGCCTCCGGTGGGGATACTTAACCATCTCATCCCATCGCAAAGCATTAGCTGCATCTGGAGCACCTTTGAGAGACCCCGGTGCAAGCGGGAAGATAGTCGTTGGATTGACCTGCGAAAGAGTATCGAGATCCTTTTGCCCATTGTTAATCAGGAAGTCATCCCAGATATGCGCGACGAGGTCGCTCCGCTCTAGCGCGGACCAGCCTTCTGGTAGCCCTGTGACGGTGACGAGCTGGCCCTTGTGTGCGTTTGATTCGTAGTTTGTAACGAGCGGGAAGTCTGTTTCGATTACTTCAGCACCGCAGGACTCGAGGACCTTTCTGGCATTCTGCCAGAGCTTGACTATGGAGGGCCGGGTGTTGACTTTGCTGGCTGGGGATAAAGAAGAGTCATCGCCTCCGATGTACATCGACGGTATACCAATGCGCTTCCCGCGCAAGGATGTGCCATCTTGTAATTCTGAAAAGGACTGCGGTCGGAGTGTATTGATTGAAGGGAGGGATATCAATTTTTGTTCCTGGTAGAAATCTCCTGTCGGGGTTTCATCGGACACGGCCAGAACGTCTAGGACGTGGAACATATCTTCCATAGTTCTAGTATGAGGCACTAAGACATCACATGTCAGATAAAGTGGCCAGACACCGCGGAGAGGAAGAAGGCCTTTTGAAGGTGTGTATGCAATAACGGCATTATTTGACGCCGGCGAGCGACCCGAAGAAACAGTCTCGCTGCCTAGGGAAAAAGCACAAAAGTTGGCCGTCGTCGCGACGGCCGATCCGTTTGATGAACCAGAAGCATATGCTGCGGCCAGGTATGAAAGATTATAGGGACTTTCAGCGCGCCCATAACACCCACGTTGCATACCACCGTATGCCATGGCGGGCATGTTTGTCCGGCCGAGAAGCACGGCGCCAGCCTCGCGGAGAAGTTGAATACAGGCAGCATCTTCGTTGGCAACAAGGGATTCAAATGCAGGTGAACCGCTCGCAACGGTCATGCCCTTGACTTTAATACTGTCTTTTGCGAGGTAGGGGATACCCTCCAATGGACGTGGCGGCAGACCAGCTGCCCGCCGGGCATCGGAGGCGGCAGCCTCATCGAAGACAGATGGGTTTAGGAGCGGGATGGCGGTGAGATTTAGATTGTTTGCGTCGTAGACGCTGATTCGTCGTAGGTATCGTGATACCAAGTCGACACTAGAGAGCGATCCTGCAGAAAGTGCGGATTGGAGCTCGGAGATACTCGCATCTAAGAGCGAAAAGTCTGTAGATTGGGCCATTGAGGGTAATTGGCCTTTTCTCTCTTTTGGAATGCAAACAGAAAGAATTCAAGATAATTGAAAAGAATACAAGTAAAAGTGAACTTAACAAGTGATATAACCCAAGTATACCCCGTAAAGCGGAGAAAGCGGAGAATAGTCCGATTTCCCCACACGCGGACTATTGACCGCTCGTATCTTTCAACTTGTTTTTGATCAAAAGATAAGTTGATAAAGAAAATAACAGGCGATTATCTTCTTGGCGCTGATAGGATGTGATATCTACCCCAGTTTCATATATAACCCTGGGGGGGATGTATCCCAGTTCTGTCTAACTTGTACACCCCGCTCATAATGAACTCCAGTACTAAAGACCCCAATACTAAAGTGGATCAGTCCACAGAAAAGGATGCTGCACATGTTGCACTCGGTGAGACTCATGATATTGGAGCAAATCTATATCTGGAGGCAGAGCAGTTGACTGCCGAGGAACTGGAGATTGAGGGCGCCGAGGTGCTGAAGATTATCGACTGGAGGATTATGCCCATGGTGAGTTATGACTCTGATACTTTGAGTGCTAGTTCTGACAGTGACATAGCTCTATCTGACATATGTTATTCAATTCCTTGGTATGCAAAATTGATTCATTTCCCCATTACTCTATAACTAACACACCTGTCTAGACAAACTATCACTTAATTATGCATCGGCATACTCCTTGATCCCAGACCTCGGACTAGAAGGTCAACGATATTCATGGGTTGCCGCTATCTTCAATTTTGGTTATCTCTTCTGGGCCCTCCCAGCCAATCTCCTGATCCAGCGACTGCCAATCGCGAAATATATGGGTGGTATGCTTTTCATCTGGAGTGTACTCGTTATCGCTCATGTTGGAGCAAAGAACTATGCAGGAATGCTAGTATTAAGATTTCTTTTGGGCATGGCAGAAGCTGGAATCAGTCCGTGCAGTGAGTAACCCATATCACAAACTACAGACATGAAAAGCGCTAACATACTCATTTCCTATCTAGTGATGAACCTTACATCAATGTTCTATAAGCGATCCGAACAACCGCTACGCATGGCTGTCTGGCTCAGCGCAAACGGCATGGCCACGATGGTAGGAGCACTACTAGGATTCGGCCTTGGCCACTCACACAACACCGCACTCCGCAGCTGGCAGTTAATTTTCTTAACAATTGGACTACTCAACTTCGTCTGCGCCTGTCTCTTCCTCTGGCTCATGCCCGACTCGCCCAGCTCTGCCCGCTTCCTGACCCACCGACAGCGCGTGGTCGCCGTGCAGCGGGTCGCTGAAAACATGATCGGCGTGAAGACTAAAGAAATCAAACCACGCCAGGCACTGGAGATTCTCTACGATTTCAGAGTCCTCTGCTACGCAGGAGTCGGCATCGCCTGCGGTGTGATCAACGGCGGCTCATCGAATTTCGCATCAGCATTGATCAAAGGCTTTGGTTTCAGCGAGATCTACACTACACTCCTGCAACTACCCACAGGTGCCATCGAAGCGGTGGTCGTTCCAATCTGCGGTATCATTGCTACATATGTAAAAGATGCCCGTTGCATCGTTCTCGGAGTCGTCTGTCTGATCCCCTTCGCTGGTCTTTTGGGTATCCGCTTCACCAGCCTTGACCACCCCTGGACTTTAGTCGGATGTACCTGGCTGCAGTATATTGTTGGTGCCCCCGTTATTATTTCATGGAATCTACTTGCCACCAATGTTGCCGGCCACACGAAGCGTGCTGTCGCTAATGGTCTTTGGTTCTCGCTGTATGCGGCCGGTAATGTTGCCGGAGCGAATATCTTCTTTGCTAATGAGTCCCCGCGGTATTACTCGGGTCTGCTGGGCCTGCTTATTTGCTATGCGGGCATCATTGTTCTTGCTTGTGCGGCATATGTGTCGATGAGGTGGGAGAATGCAAGGAGGGATGCTGCAATGGTTGCAGGTGGTAGTGATGAGACATCGGAGGATATTACTGCTCAGGGTATCTTGGATGGCTTTAAGGATATGACGGATAGGGAGTCCAAGCATTTTAGGTATGCGCTTTAGGCTTAAGCTCGCGCTTTAAATTTGATATATGAATTATTTTGAGAGACAGCTAGCCTATTGCCATTGGCGGTCTAACAGTAGAGGTATCTAATAGTATTGCAAAGGATATATTTGAAAAGTTCCATTTCACAAAGCCTTTTTCCGCATGTTTTGCTGTTGAGCTATAGAACTGACAAGGCAAGTAAACATAATGATATCTGATGCTAAAGATACCACTCAAAAGATATCACAATGCCGCTTATACGGCCAACTATTCCTGACATAGCATTGAGCTTGCGTCTTTTTGAGAGTTAATTAGTGACAATGGGTGTGAGACAACCAAATCAGAACTTGTCTTGGCCATCGAATGTCAGTATAGGAATTTGACCAGGACATTGTCCCACAAGGGCAGGGGCGAACGATTACAAATATATATAGAACTTGTAAAGGGTTGCCTCCATCTACATTGGGTAAATGTCACTAATTGCCGGCCTATAGAGTAACCTAGTCTATAAGACAACAAAACAAGCAAATATGGTATGTATGAATTGTTAGTAAATAACATCGTAATAGCAGAAGACAAATAGGGAGAAAAGGTCATAACTAAATTACAAAACAGAAAACCCCTCTAATGCAGTGTGTAAGATGATCTTCAAAGCCACAATGTGGAATGACTTCATATCAACATGGTCTTCTAGCAACAACCACAGTCTCATATGGTGTTAGTCCAATATGATCTGGAAAACTCAACTCGGAGAATGGAGATTGACAGAAGCGCGGCTCGTAATCTGGCCAATCGACCCTCGGCCCAAGCCAGACAATGAAATCAACATTTTGATCACCATAGGTATCAATATATTTAGTGATAAGTTTCGGATCGCGTGGGTAGACAAACATCCACGCAGCAGCCTGTTGGGCGGGAGGCCAAAGGCCCCAACCTCCACCCACGGTATTCATATCTTCTTCGGCGATGTACCGATTAATAGATGAATCCACCTCAACGCCTTCAACGGACACATTTTTGTCGTGGTGCACGATGAGACCTTCCAGGAGACCAGATCCGCTGCCGACTGAGAGTGTGAATTTGGGTTTTTTGGGGAGGAGTGAAGCAAGATAGGTTATCAAAGTGCTGGAGATGCCCAAGCAGCAGTCTGGAAATCTTTTGGGTTCCGGCAATAGCTGCTTGGAGATTTGAGATATATCCATATTGTTTTTGATTCAATTTAAATGTGAGTAGATTGTAGCTCCAGGATGGAGAAGATATCTCATTCGGAGACGGATTTACTTAGCTCCCGGGTATCAGAATTCACATTGGGTATGTGGCTCCTAATTTACAAGTGAAGGTTGATTATATCTAACTGAGAGAATGAAGGATATATTCAGAATATCAGGAAATATTTCAGGGGATAGGTGAATCCTTAGGCAGATATCATATCCCTCAAACATGTTTCTAGTCCTGAGGCATCAATATTACCCTTTTTGGAAGTATATAGCAATGGTTCAAATGTTGCTTGTGACCTCAGAACTTTACAATCGATTAGCTTTGATCCATATCTGATATAATGTAAGCTTAACAGATGGATGTAAGCCAAACCTCCATGGGAGCTATATCATCGAAATAAACGACCGAGCTTAGGTCCATCCAGGAACACGCTGGGCAGTTACCACAAGACTCCGTAGCATTGAAGTCAGTGTATTACCTACATAGCTAGGTAGAGGTTATTAATATTGTATTTATGTTAAAAAAGTAACTACTGTTTAAAAGAGGTATAAACAGAGCAGATTGAACATTTATATCCAGCTTTTTATTACAACCATAGCCCAAGCCCAATTTCTCTTGAAAAGCAGAATAAGCACAAGCTGACTGATATGTCGAAGCGGTAGAGATGTAGATAGAAACAGCATATGGGCATGCCTCATGATACTCGGCCAACTTTTCAGGTTTTCTTCATATGAACCTAGAAGCGTGGTATATATTCCCTCGGCAGCGCAAAATACCACATATGTGACCCTCACAATGATAGGCCTACCTGGGGGCCTATGTCACTTTGTTTAGATATATCCTCTCTGTGATGGATTAGCTATTGAATAAAAGTCAATTTAGAATGACGGGATACCTGCTCTGGACATAATCAGTGTCCCATAAACACAACATATTCCCGGGCAAATTTTGATAATATATGATATACAGCAGAGAGAGATATGTAGAATCTTTGGAAAAGGCGGGCGGCTGGCTTCATATATATACTAGTAGGTATTCAGCTATGACCTGTTTGTAGTGTAGCCTGAACAAAGGCAAACATGCCCTGCAGGTGCAACAATGGCCAAGTGGCATCATGATTTATGAAAGAAAAGTGAGTAGGGAGTGACAGGATTCTGATAATAAGGGTCTTTATGCTATACAGCTATTTACATGGACTCTATGGAGACCTCCCAACTGGCCATACAAGGGGAACGCATGATCTAGTCATCCCTGCTTTTCTTTCTCCCACAACCCCAGAGTTTGTGTTTTTACATAGTGAATTACACGTGCTCACGGTATAGGGAAATCAAATATCATGTGCATTTAAAGCTTCGTACAATCCAGGTATCATGGCAGTTGCCGGGGTCCACCGGTATAAATATCAATCAGCGCGTCCATCTAAGCCTTCTCGATCAACCGATCAAAGATCTGGCTAATCTCCTTGGCACTTTTCTTTGGAAGTCTCTTCTGGCCGTTCTCATAGTCGACAAAAGTAACACCGAAGCGGGTCTCGTAGCCCTCAGCCCATTCGAAGTTGCTATAAACAAGTTAGTCGGATGTTATACCAGAATCATCAAGGGAGCAAAGTTCAAACATACTCTAGAAGACTCCAAGCCATGTAAGCCCGCACATTGACACCGTCATGGGTATAGGCATCAGCCATAGCACCAATGTAATCCCGGAAATACTGCGCGCGGAACTCATCGTTGAGCAACTCCTCGAGCGGCA